ATAGTTGACAAGATATTTATATTTAAAGTTAAGAAAACTTTTACTTAGAAAAAATTTGTCCTATTTCTACTGACTCCTCCCCATATGTTCATATGTCCAAATAATTTGGTAAATGCAAATTCACATATGTTAAATGTTTGAAGATTCTTCCTGAAGCAAAAATCACAAACTAGCAGATCATAATTATTACATTATTAATAGACCAAAAATGTCATAATTTAACTATTAGATGGCTGTCAAAATTTATTAAATATTTTGTATATTATGCTTAGAATTTGGTTTTAGGCTAATATTTGTATAATGCATATTGGTTTTAATTAATTTTATTATAATTCCTTAATTTCAACTATAACTTTTTTTTACTAATTACTACTGTATATCATCAGAATAGTAAATTTCATATCAGTATTTTTTATTCGACTTATAATAAAATTTTAATACAAACTACTTTAATTTTACTAATAGAAATTATAATAATTCAATGCAAACTAAATATCATCTTTATATTTGTATTGAGCAATTTTTGTATCAGAATTTTTTACAGTAACTTATAATAAAAATCACAATACAAACCAATCTACCTTAACTGCAAGCTGTAGTTATCAAATAGTAAATAAATTTCTATAATAAAATTTTTTATAACAATTCATTTAGATATTGGATATAAACAAACTAAACTACAATAGTTTAAAATTTGGGTGGCAAGTATATAAACAAGCAGTTACTGCTTCAAAAATTTATCTAAAATCAAAAGTCATTAGCTATATTATCCATGATCTGATAATTTATTGGTAATATGTAATTTTAATTTACAATTCTACTCTTAATCATAATACTCTTAATTTATGTAAAGATTAACTTAGCTTTTACATACTTTTTTGAGTTAATACAGTATATCTACTTTCTTCCCTGTTCTGAATCATCCAAACGCTTCTTTTAATTTTTTCTATAGCTCTTTGAAATATTGCTTACATTATCTTTTTTAAGAACCTCTCTAATACTATATACTACGTATTAAGCATTACCCACTCTTAAGCTCTGCTATCCTTTTTATTTATATTTGCACCTTTTCAACCTTTGAAAACACACAATCCAACTCTACCCTGCTTGTATTATCCCAGGCATCTCTACTTTGAACACTATCTTCTGCTCTACCTTTTTATTTTACTACTCTTCGTGTCAACTTTTCAACTAAATCTTTACCTCCTGCATCCGATAAACTCTTACTACTATATAACAACCTCAAAATTTCTATTGGTAAATGATCTAGTATACTTTTCAGCCCTTGATGCAGTGTTTCATCTAAATCATATCCTAACCGTTTTCTGAAGTTGACATAACTGGTAAAACCTTCTGCACCTCATCTTTTACTAGCACCAGATTTGCTTTTCTTTTATTCTATATTAGACTATATGACGACAAAGCTAGACTTGCATTGAGCTAGCAGCAAAGACAAAAGAGAGAGAACAATTTCCCACTCTTTCTTTCTTAAATAGCTATTCCTTGTGACCTCATATTTACTCAACCACAACATAATCGCTCACACAATATATTATTCTTACCCAACTCTAATATATACAAAGTTGTCACAAATCCCTCATACTTACCTATCATTATTTTACGTTATGGACCCAGGTCACAGTCTCGTGACAAATGTATATCATGTGCTTCGTTCTTTGAATCATTAGTAAAAAAAAAAAAAAAATCAAAATGTCGATACAGGAAGTTATGAAAAAATTTTACTACTATGTCATTATATCCTGTTGATATAAGCTCTAGATTTGATTAGTTAACAACCAAGTTCGATACTTATGTAATCAGATATCTGGATAACCCATTTTAATAAGGTATCTGGTTTAGTTTTGGGTCACAAGCAGAGATTTTTAAACCGCATTGGAGAGAACATCAATATTATGCAATTAATTCTTCACCCGGCATGCATATAGTTGGTAGTAGAATTAATTTGGCAAATTAATATGGCAACAGCATATGCTATATTATTTGTCATAATTTTGTAATTCGTAATACTGTAATGCTGTAATGCTGTAATGCTATAGTATCAAAATACCATAAAGCAGTAAACATATTGGTGAACTTTTGAAATTGGGTTTGTAAAATGCATCCTCAATTTCAGTGACTAAAAATATATAAAAAAACAATATAAATTTTCTAAACAGGTAAATTTATTGCTTAACAAATTAAGATATACCAATTCAACAATATATTATTACAATAATATGCTGAAGATAATACACCAGTATTTGCAGACATAACCTCCAGGAATAACTTCAACAGATATAATTTGGAATACTGTTGATTAAATTCATAAAAATCGATGCATCTAGCTTTTCCTATTCCTTTAAAAGCGTTGTCTTCAATTTTTCATATGTTCTTGGGGGTGGTCTTTGTTGCTGTATTCTATATATCTTTTAGCATATTTCATATGTAGAGCACTCGCACTATATCATATTATAGTATAATAGTACTTTATTATATTTCACATTATTATAACATTTATTATAACATTACGCAATATTTATAGCAATCAGATACTGTGCCGTAATTAATTCTGGTAAAATACCGTAATGCCGTAATTCAGTAATTCTACTGTCAACTATAGATGTGCAATATATAAAAAAATTATTTTACAATACCAGATCATTCTGCTAGTATATGTTATGATTACAATCTAATACCATTTTATTATCATAAAAATGGTGTTGGATTATAATCATAACATGTACTAGCAGAATGATCTGATATTGTAAAATAATTTTTTATATGCTGCATACCGAGTGAAGAATCAGTCATGTAATATCAACATTCTCTCCTATAGTTGGAATCTACACCTAATTATCTCATATTTATGTTCAAAACAGCATCAATACTTATGTATTAAGTATTATATTGTATTGCACACCTTAGGTTTCTAAAATGAACGATTTGTAAAATCATACGTAAGACATAAGAAAATGACAAAAAAGTAATTCATACAATATACATACTGTACATAGATAATATCAAAATTATAAAAGTGCAATCCCTTGATTTTCTAAAATTCACCATTTTTCAGATTAATAAATTTTGACTAAAAATGAAACAAGCACCTAAAGTATCTAAAAAACAAAATTTAAAATACCTAAAACAACCTGTAACAAGTAAACAAATATCAAAAAAAGAAATACCTTTGGAAGATCAGAAAAGAATCAACCTATTAAGAGAGTTGAACTTTTCAACATGAGAAATAGGAAAGTCATTTGATATTGGTTCTTCCGCGGTATCTAAAACTTGTAAGAGAAAAAGTAAAACAGATGAGATTAAAGATCGAGAAAGATCCAGATGTCTATGAATCCTAACACTCAATAATAAAAAAAAATAATTGACATATTGTTTTCAGAAAAAGGCTCAATAGCAGTTAAGATCCATTCATAGTATGTAGCTGAAACAGGCAAACATATTTCAGTAAAAACTATATGAAATACATTAAAAAGGTGTGGCTACAAAGCCAAGGTTAAACCTAAAAAACCTGCAATAAGTGAAAATGCCAGATTAGAATGTCTTGCATTTGCCAAAAAGCATCTTAAATAGACTGTGAATGATTAGAGGAAGGTTGTTTTTTCTGATGAGAGTAAATTTGTACTTTTGGTATTTAATTTTCGTAAATTTTGCTGAAGAAAAAAGGGAGATAAATTAAAATCTGATTACGTTAGTCAAACCAAAAAATTTGGAGGTGGAGATATAATAGTTTGGAGCTGTATAACCTCACGTAGTGTTAGTGAGATATGTCACATCGAAACTCATCTAGATAATAAAGGTTATCGCATAATTCTGGCCAAAGATCTTTTTGGCACCTTACTTGAATATGACTTAGATCTTAAAGATGTTATTTTATAGCATAATGAGAACCCAAAGCACAGAGCAAAAAAATATAAAAAAATAGATCAATCAAAGAAATATTAATATCCTTAAATGGCCTCTATATTCTGCTGACTTAAACCCAATAGAAAATGCTTGGAGTGAAATAAAAAAATGCCTAGAAGAGCGTTTAAAAAAGCAAGAGCAAGAGCAAGAAACAGCTACAAAAAAAGAAAAGCTAAATAAATTGTAGAAAATAGTATAAGAAAAATGAAAAAAAATCAATATTAATTATATTGTCAGTCTTTATGATTTTATACTTCAAAGAATGGCTGCTGTGATTGCAAATGATGGTCTTTATACGAATTTCTAATATACATACATAGAAAATAGTTACACGAAGGTTGTATGATTGTCACCAACTACCCCAGCATTAGGGTGTTCAGAATTATGCCAAATTATACATACAGCAAACTGTAAATTATGCAAATTATGCAAGTTTTTAGCTTAAAATATGTAGCATATTATGCGCTATACCACAAATTAAAATATGCAACAACTGTACGAATACTCAAATATTTAAATAAGATATTAAAATTTTTAAAATATCTATTTAGATTTTTATCTTATATATTAATATAGTAAGTACTTGGAACCGGTTTTATTTTTCATATGCTAACCGATCAAGCCAGTTCTAACTAGTGAAAATATATCAGCTCCAAACCTTTGATCACAAACTAGTACACTTATATTATGCGAATTATTATATAAAATAACCCAAATTATGCAACTTTATGTGACGCATAATGCATATACGGTATAGTCAGAAAATGTGTACCAGGTTGGTGATGTAGTTCTTCTGATTTATGAATCAGCATTCAAGATTAGATATAATATAACACAATAAAACAAACATTCGTTTTGCCAAAAATCGCTTATAACTCAAAAATCAGCATAAGAAACCACCTTTTGTGCTCTAACAAAAAGTTTTCATTAGACAATTTTACTATTAAAACTACTACCTTCTAGCTCTTAACCCTAACTCTAACCTTAACGAATTTTAAGAATTTTGTCTGTGCTACTAACCTAATTCATATTTTTTAATTGCGTATGTGGTACAGATCAAAAATTATGCATATTATGTACATCATAATCCTGAACACAGTAAATTTACCTTATATATATAGTTCTATCTGCAAATTATATAAGTTGATTGGCTAAAAAAATTTTTAGCCATCAAATCACATGATTTATGTTGTACAAACTTTGTTATTCAAAATAACTAAAGGTAAATTTACCGAATAGCTCAGGTAATTTACCAAAAAAATTGAAAATTACAGTAATTTAACAACCTAGTTGAGGTAGTTGATTGTCACCTGTTAATCAACCAATTAAAATCTTAAATCTTTTAAAGAAAATCGAAATGAGGAAATTTAATTGAAATTTATAATATAAATAATCAAAATAAATACTATTACAATTAGACAAATATGCCTTTATTAATTTAGATTATTTTTAACTATATTACAAAGTAACAACTGTTGTTATTTACGATTCTATATTCAGCTCTATATATTTGATATCTAATAAACCTAATTATTTACAATTATTCTATCAAAGAGAACTTCAAATCTTATAATATTGCTTTATACATCATATTACATATGCATATATATAAGTCTATCAC